TGCACTGACTCCTGTGTACGCAGTATTATGCAGGTGGTCATAATGTTATGGCTTTTCAGTGTACCTTTCAATATAATGAGAGAAGAATGGATTAAAATGCAAGCAGGCTGATCAAAATGATCAGAGGGTTTAGTAGTTTAGTTTGTTTAAAATAAAACAAACAAACAAAAAAAAACTAATAAACTCCCAATGGTAAAGCACTGACTGCATGTGCATGCACACATACTGGGTTAACTATTTTACAAAAAAAATTTCAATGTTTATTAGCCTGATAGGTGAAGATAAAATGGATTATTAGGAATGTCTGAGGGTGTACATCTAAGAACACATAAATCTGCCAGGTCAAATCTGTACAATCAACTTGCAGGACATGAAACCAGAGTTTACTGCTTTTATACTAAACAAAGCAAGGAGAAGTTAGGAAAACAAACTTCCAAAGTGCTGTCAATGTTGCAGAAGATATCTGCTGATGTTCTTCACTCGCTTCAGAGTAAAAAGTAACTGCAACCTTCATCCTGTCAGGGGGCGACAGGTGGGAGGTCCTAAGATTGACAGGAATGAAAACAGGATTAATTAATGACTGCATGTCGGCATCTAATACAGAAGTCACCGAGGCACTTCATTATGTACGAAGTCTGACAAGCTTGACATACTGAAGAAATGATGAAATGCACAGTCTACCTGTGTCATCACATATTTATCTTTCTCACCAACAATATGGGGTGACTGGGAGCGGCCATCATAACAGAAGTGATGTTGGATCATGAAAAAAAGTCCAACTTTATTCATCAATAATGTGCCATTCTCATCTAATCCAACGTCTGTTAAAATCAACAAATAGCAACGACACCACAACTGAGCTAAAATCACAACTGCTTGCTCCAAGAACCCAAACACATAATCTATTAATCTGTTGAATGAATGAGTACTATTAAACTCTGTGATACACTACGTGTGCAGAACAACTAAAAACGCATACACACAGAAATGACTGTGCTGTGTCCACACACCAGAAGGAAAGACAGAAGATGGATGGGTGGCGTTACACAAGAGTCACCCTCAGACAGAGATCTTATTTTATTTACTGAGCTGTAGGAGATGACAGAAGGAGCATATCCTGACCTTGTACCCAGTCAGTTCCCTGAAAAGAGTACAGTAAAACCCTTACACGGCAGCTGGTGTCAAAGACTGACACATCAGCCAATTGTTAACTTTCCACTATGACAACCTCACGACATGACAGCAGAAGGCAGTCAGTAAAAAAAACCCCACAGCATTTCATTTTTGAAAACAAAGATGCAAACAGAAGAAGGCTGGAGTAGCAGCGGTGTGCTCAAGGCCTTGATCCTCAGCCAGCAGACAGCTTTATGTATGTTAAACTAACTCTGCAGGGACTCACCTCTCTGATAGCTCATAACCAGGGGAGGGATATTTTAACAGTTAAACCACTCTGGATACAGACCAGATGTTGTACAAAGGACGCCCTTCTACACATTTATGACTATCAGCAGATTGGCCCTGGGGCGCAGCTGCTGTTTAAAGTACAACTGAGGCGAGGAGAAGTCACCCCTGTCTCAGTCTCTACAGAGGTGATATCTTGTTTTGTTTTTACTACTGCGCTCATCAGGATGGGCAACACAACATGCACTTCAAAAGACAATCCGTCTGTTCTAAACAAATGCCAGTAACCAACAGCTCTATCATGCATGTTACTTGTGTGACATGTTTCTTATTTGACTGCTGGATATGTTTTGCATATGCTAGTGAAGAAAAAAAAAAACAGATCAGCACTACAGTGAAATCCAAAAACAATCAACTGTGTCAGATGGAGAGTGACACATCAGGATGAGGCTGCTGGCACAGTTTACACTGACAGCTCCCGGTCGCCTGTGGTGGGAACAGACAGAGAGAGACTGGGCTCATGGATGGTGATGGATGGAGATGAACATATGAAGGGCCTGGTCAGTTGCCATGGGAACATGAACAAAATGGAAATTCAGTTTTCCTTTTCAAAATGTTTCATTTCCATAACTTACTGTCATAACGCACCACTTCTCCCTGAAAATTGTTGTACTCATAAATTCTTTGGTATTCTCATGTTTATTTCTTTTGTTTGCATTGGAACAACACAAAAAAGCAGAAAAAAGCCAAATCTGATCCATTCCACACAGAACTCCAAAAATGGACTGGACAGAATTATTGACACCTTTTCAAAATCACTAGAAATAGTTGTTTCAACCATGTGATGCTCCTTTAATTTGCAATGACTCTCACCTTAGGCAACCAACAGGTGCTGGAAATATAGAAATCACACTTGCAGCCAGTTAAAATGGAGAAAAGTTGACTCAGCCTTTGTGTTGTGTGAACCACACTGAGCATGGACAAAAGAAAGAAGAGCAAAGAAGTGTCTGAGGATATGAAAACCACAATGGTGGAAAAGCCTGGACAATCGCAAGGCTCCAAGTCCATCTCCAGAGATCTGTCTGTTCCTGTGTCCACTGACAGCCAATGACCCTGTAGTTAATCTCCCTGGATGTGGGTGAAAGAGAAAAATAGATGAATATATTTCTGTTCTTGGCTCGCACAATAAATGAGATAGTTGATACATCAAAAATCACTACAGTACTAAATCGCATTAATTTAATATAATGTCATGGTATATTTTATCATATAATCCAACTAATAATTATTTACTAAAAAGCTATAATCACAAATAAATCCATACAGTATGTTCTCACCATAACAAGCAAAGTGAAATTGATGATTTTCTGTGTAATCCTCCCCATGCACACTCAAACTGTCAATAGTTTCCATAGCCATTCACCCAGAAACCGCACCCACACAGCCGGGGTCATTCGTCAGTTTTCAAGGTGCCACAGACAAACATGGTCTTGCAGATGAAAAAGTGAGTGTTTTTTTCCTGATGAATATTTTCTCGATCTATAACATGTTACACAATTGAGGAAAATGCTCCTTCCCAAATCCTCTGAGCTCGAAGTGATGCCATTAAAGTGCTGGTTTTGTCAGCAGTCAAAAACACAAAGATATTGTTTAAGACAGAGAAAAGCATTAAACCATCACATTTGAGAAGCTTAAAATGATTAATTGATTATCAAAACAGTAGCTAGTTAATTTTCTGTAGACTGACTCATTAGACTAATCATGTTACTGCAATGTTTGTACTGTGGGATGAGCTGTGTGCACTTCTAAACAGGGCTGATTATGACGACGCTGAGGGATGTGACTGTGTGTCTACATCATATCTAATAGCTCTGCAGTATCCTCAGTTTGTGAGTCAGCATGTAAGTGCCTCACCTCCCCTTTCAGGGTGTCACATCTCTTATACTTCCCATGTATGTTTCACCCGTTCATTTAGACCTTTAGCCAAGCTAACACCCCACATTATCCAGAGGAAAGAGCCCCTTCTCATTACAGGCAAGTGGATTGTAGCTTAAACAATACTGATTGCTCTTGTGCTTAATCAGGTTAAGGTGTTATTTTCTCACTGGAAATGTAGCTCATCCTTGGCCCATTTTGAGGCTAACCTTCTGCAGAGGTCATTGCCATGGGAGACTGTGGCAGCGGCTGCTCTCCTTACCTGAGTCCAGATAAATACGTTAGCACTACGTGTATGGATCCCTTTGCTCTTTCTGCCCCCCTTCCCTTGCATTCATATCAGAGAGAAAAGGAGAGGACAAGGTGAGATGTAAGAAAGCACGCAGAGAGAAGAAGAAGAGCACACGGTGTCAGAGAAGTCACCTGTGGGATTTTCAAGACACGTCAGTCAAATCTAACACAGGTGCCACAAAGAGCAGCTATAGCCGGGCCCTGCTCTCATCTTTTGTCAAGTGCTTGTTTCCTCAAGGCCCCCTCTGCTGGAATGAAGGGCCCCTCCACTAGCTCAACAGGCCATCCAGATAAAGGAGCCAAAGACACCCCAAGCCTGCTGTCGATGGACACACAGATACGAGCTGAAGGGATAACCTCTCCCCTCCACTCTGCCTCCCTCTCACCCTACAACACCATCTACATCTCCTCCCATTTTTCAGCCTCTTCTCTGCCACCAATTTGTCTCTTTCTCATTCCCTGCATTACTCTCCATTCATCGAGTCTCCACCCATTCCTGCCACCCCTCCCCTTTCCTCTCCCTCTGACCACACATTTCTGTGGGAGCCCTATTGTTTTCTAGAGAGGGGCAAGCTGCTGCTGGTTCTTATCTGGGACTGTTGGCAGCACATCTGTAGATGTTATCAGTCGCCCTGTTGCTCTGTTTATGCTCCAGTTGTGCAAGTGCAGCTAGCAGGGAAATGAGATGGATGGAGGATGAGGCCAGAAGAAAATTGAGCAGTTTCCTCAGCAGAAATGATGGAGTAAAGGCCAAAGAGGAGAGAACACAGGAAAGAAGGCATTGTACACAGGTTCAGGGTAGCATTTTACCATCAGTAGTTAACAGCAAACCGCCTTACCAACACTAACCTGTACTGCTATCATCATAGCACAATGATAACAGAGCACACCGCTTTTCACAAAGCTCTTCCATTGTCAAAGACTAAAGACATTCTTCCACACAATTTAGTACTTATCTTTAAAACTGTGTGTGGGTGTCTTCTTCAAATTATACCCCAATGAAGCGAAGGTAGAAGAAAAGCATTTTCTGCATCAGTGAGATTAGAAGCGAGCCTTGTTTAAAGCGGACAGTTAAGTATAAACATTTGCACAAACAGTCACATTATGTAGGCAGTCTGTTGTGAAGAATCTGTAGCTGCTATTTAGGAAATAAGAGCATGGGTTTGGATTACTGTTGATAATTAAATGGGCTGCAGACACAATGAGGCAGCTCTGGCTGTCAACCATGCTACACAAAGCATCACTGTGACTCCAAAACGTAAGGAAAATCATCTTTTAAAGTGTAGGTTACAGGCATAGAGGCTGCTGGCAATATACAGTATCGTGAGATTGATGGGTTTCTCCATGAACAGAGACTGGCTTCATTGGTGTGTCTTCATGTATATGAGAGTAGGGCTGGCAGCTTGGGAGCAGCAGATGTTTCTGAAGACACAGATGTTGCGCTCTGTGATGATGTCACTCAACATGGCCGGGGCATTCATCATCGTTTACCTTGTCGAGAGGTAGGAGGGTGGGACATATTAACATCAGTTAGCAGCTCTGCATTCCCCCATCCTGCCACACAAACCCAACATCCCTGGCATTTTTCATTCAGGACCAAAATTCTACAAAAACGTTCAGCGTGTTATTTGGATGAGTATATGTCGCCATTTATACCCTTGTATTTTTATCATCAATGGAAACAGATAATTGCTTGCGGCTACCAAGAGGATCGAAAATCAGTGGAATTTTTGTTCTTTTCTCTTCTAGACATTCATGTAAGCACCTTTCTGAAAAGCTCCAGTGAGCCATATCAACAGACCAAGTATCGTCACTCATACACTAGGGTTCTGACATGATGAGAAGACCAATCCGTGCATGTAGAAATAAAGCACAACACAGTTTCAAAGTTTATTAGCAACATCTGGTAAGATGCCAATGCCATATACAAGACAAAGTAAACAACCACAGCAAACACAGATATCAAATACTGTACATACAGTGCATATTGAACAGGCTGCCGGAGGGCAAGATTTGTATTTGAATGAGGATCATATGGTATGCAGCAATTCCATTCACAGTGGCCAACTCTTTACACACTGCTAATAGCTACACCGGTTGTTTATTTTGTTTAATTAAATTTGTAAAAATGAAAGGGATATATTTACTGGGGGCAAACGTGCAGTAGTGGCTTTTCTACACAGAGAAATGTGAAGCAGAGCGACTGAAACGATCACATCAGGAACAGTGAGGAAGACAGAGTAACAATAAAGGCAATCTAATCGATCACTCAGCCCTAATGGAAAAGGAGGCGGCACATCTCTAGAACACCTGGACAGTCTGACAGTGTGGCAGTAGCAATTACTCCAATCCATCTGCAGCACACTGGCTTCATATAGAGCAGATGCTACGCCATGATGGATTCCGAAGAAAATGAAACTCCGATGAGTCTTAACTGTATTCATGCGAGCATTTGTGTGCCTGCACGCCGTGTTGTCCAACATGGAAAACAAACTAACCAAAGACAAAAACTAAAAGAATACATGTCTGTCTGTGATTATGCAACCATGTTTTTCACTTAAACAAATCGGTAGGCATACAAGACTGTGCAAACCTAAAGAAAGATTTGACACATACTGTACTGTATATCCCAAGCATCAAAGATGAAGACTTAGATGCAGCAGCCGTATCCAAGCTTGCTTTATGTTCCCTGGCTGTAAATGCAGCAGGAAATGAGACCTGAGTGTTAAAATGCACTGTGTGCAGGGGTGCAAGGGAGCTGAAAGGTGAAGGAGAGGGAGGAAATAAAAGCAAGTGTCATCACTGTGTAGAAGCATCCTGCTATAATGCAGTGTTGTGTCTACTGCCAGTGTGTCTGTAAATGTATAGGTTGTGTAAAATAATTTCAGTTCAATACCATCATTGTGAGGACATTTTGCCACATTTGACAACTTCAAAGTGCTGCTTGAGGGTTAAGACTAGGTTAGGGCAGGGGTTGACAACCTTTACTAAATGAAGAGCCTTTTTTGGCCAGACAAAAAAAAAACAAACAAAAAAAAAACGCCTGGAGTCCTTTACAAGACGGTACCACAGTCTATTGGCTAAACGGCAAATCAACAGCTGATTAGACTATTAGCTACTTTAACTTTCCATCCCCATTACAATACTGCAATACTCTGGTGCATTTATAAACTTTAAGAACTACTACAAGACCATTTCCAACAAAACACAAAACTGACTGTGCACTAGAGAAAACTCTGCTGCCATGTGTGGGCTTTGTGAAAATGAAAGAAATAGTTTAAATCCCACAAAAAAGCTAAATATGTACACAAATAGTACCCAGATAGCCTACATAAGTTTATAGTAAATGGAAGGGCACTACACTATCCCATCATTCCAGCTGTTATAATGTTCATCCCAGGACTGTTATTATGCCACTTTCTTAAGTTTGGATATTTTTTCAGTAAAGAAAATAATCTAGTTTTCAAATAAACGATCAGTCAATCCAAGTAATGCCACTTTAGAAATCTGCTCAGACGTCATCAGGGACGTGATGACCTGATAACATTGCAGGTAGCTAGCTCCACTTAGCATGCATAGCTGTAGCCATTGGTAAAGGAAGTCACGAGAAAGGGGCTAATAAGCAGCACATGGCTTGGGAGCTGCTGCGTGCTGACCCCTGGGCCAGGGAATACATAATGTCAATGAGTGCCCTTACCTCTAGCGTATATGTGCATGTGTGTGTGTAAAAGAAGCAACAGGGGAGATGCATCTCACTGACCTCAGCGTTTTTCGACAGCTTGGAAGAATGCACACCCACAGCATCCTACTCTGATGCAGCAGGACGCAGTGCAGGGCGCAGTCAGTTTGTACCAAAGGCAAATCCATAATACCACACATCAACACTAACAGCAGGGAGACTCTACTTGAGCACGGTAATTTTTTCCAGTTATCATTTTAATCATCGATCAAGCCTCATCAGACTTGGCTCAGTCAGTCAAATGCCTCCATACTGTCTTGAAATCATGTGTGTGTGTGTATGTGTGTATGTGTGTGTAGGCTCATACGCATGCAAACCCTGAATCTGACACCTCCACAGCTCACCCTGAATCTGACACCTCCACAGCTCACATCCACCAATCAAAAAGCCGTGCGGGTGGCTCATGGTGTGGATAGGAGAAATCTGAATGCCAACCTATAGGGGTCTTACACACAGTTCAGGGCAGCTCAGTCAAAGCAGGATCCACACGTGCATGCTCATCAACATTTCATAGTTCATTTGTGTTCCTGCTGCTCACTGAAATGACATCTCACTTTATTCCTTTCCATCTTCCTTGTTTTTCCACACGTAGCTCTTGCTCACCTAAGTCTTGCATGTGTCACGTGTCATAACCCTGCACATAAAGGCAGGCTGTGTTCAAGCAGGCCCGAACAGGTTCCAACAGCCTCCCAAACAGTCTTTATCCCAGATGAACACAAACGGTGCTCCATTCATTCCCAGGTTTTCCTTTCATCCCTGTTGCTTTGCAGACATCCAGCGCCCTCACAACTCCTTTTTTTCCACTCATGTTAGCTCCAAGTGAGCAACGCAGATCATCTGTCTCTGGCTAACAGCAACAGAATAAATGCAAATTAATGATCTGTTAAGAACAGTCAAGCAAAATGTCAACGTTTATAGGATAAAACCATTTTGTCACTAAAGAAAACATATCAATAACCTACAGCGGTAAGGAAAATGGGGGAAACACTTTGGTCCTTCTTATTTTTCCACCTGTATAACATATCATTTTGGACAAAGAGAAATCCAGTCAGCTAGAAGAGAGAGTGTGGAATAAGAACTGAGTGGCAGCAAAGAAAAATGCTTTTTGAGGTGTCACCTCTCACACCTTGCACACCTCTCCACTGCCAACATAATATCATCAGTGCATATGGAGACCTGCTCAGATGGTGCAAGAAAGTGAATCCATTAATAAAACTGGCTTCTGAAGCAAAAGAAAAACGAAGATGCTAACCAAGTGAGTACTTTGGTTCCTTTAGCAGGTTCCATCTGTGCCCAGGGCGAGGTGTTCTTTCAGTACAGGTTAATGCAATGAACACTCGTGGCTGCACTATATCCGGCATCCTCAGTACATGCCAGGTAGAATAAAATACAGTATATATTACAAACATATTTTCTTTACATCTAGAGTAGCACAATCAAATCCCTTTTTTGTCACCCTGGAATCATACATTTTCTCACACAGCAGACTCTTTCAAAGGATATCCCATAAAAAAAAAAACAAGATATGCCTGTCATCACCTAGTGACCGTGCTTCAGAATTCATCCTTAAACAGGAAGATTAAGGACAATGGGGTTCAAGAACATCAATACTGGAGTGATTTTTTCTGAAGCAAGACTGTACAAAATCTTTTCAAAGGGCAGGTGTCAAGACAAGTGGCCTTGAATATCAAAACTCAAGGATAGCTAGACCGTTTCAATCTGGAATAAAAACTTTATCCGCTCAGAGTCTCACTTTTTCTGCCCACCCTGTGTGTCTGATGAATACAGAGGTCTGTTTGAAAAGATTTCTGCAAGGCCTGAGGAGCCATCAAAAAAATAAAAATGGGAGGGGGAGCAGGCATAAACTCTTTCAGTGTTCAAAAGCCCTGTGAAGCCCAATTTAGCTTTGAAACATCAGGATATTTTAATATGAAAACCCAAAACTGCATCATGTGTGTTCACTTGGGCGACTGCTGGGAGATGAAAGGGTGGTGTGCATGAGCACACTGGTCTGTAACAGCACGGGCACATCTATCTGTAGAACAGCACAGAAGAAGACATGGACAGCAAATGTGAATGAGAGAGGGAGACGATAAACAAAATGCTGTCAAGTGCAGTATAGCCACTTTTTTATGCAGATTGAGAGGAGCTGTGAAAGTGATGGATTGTCCACTAGAAAAGCTTTTCAGAGCCCTGAATAAGGCTCTCCCCAGGTACTAAATCTCTCTGCAAAAAGTAGTAGCAAAAAAGAAAGTGTGAACTTTGCCAAGCACATCCACCCTGAGAAGTCTACATATGGAGTACATACACCTCATGTCATCAGGGTAAGACTGAGTAATGACTGTTTGCTTGTGTAACTGAAAAGCAGCTTATTTTCTAAGACTCAACACTTTGAAAACATCTATGCACAAAGTACAATAAGTGACAAAACTATAAGTCTAATGCTATATCCTAAAGGTTTCTGGGACTGTTTAGCAGACAGTATAGAAACTTGTGTTTTAAAACTTTCCAAAAGAAGCTACATCTGCCTCTGGTGTAAATAACTCAGAGGCTAGTCTTGGGAAGACTGGAATAAAGGGGTGTGAGTACAGTATATTGAGAACAGTGAGAATCCAGAGTTTTCCACAGCTGTCCTAAATGTTTTCGGGACTGTTTAGCTGACTGTATAGCCATTGGTGTTTCAAGTACACCTGCCTCTGCTGTTAAAGTACTCAGAGGTGTGTCTTGGAAGATTGAAGTAAAGGGGTTCAAA